TTTTTTACGAGAATACGACTTGATTTTTCATATTTTATTTATTAGAACTGATGATAACATTGTAAAATCAAGCTCCACTAGTGTTGTTTTTTCCGATTTTAGGAAATTTCAGTTCAAATTTTACTTACTTTCTAAAAAAAAATTGCTCTAGATTAGTGCAAAAAATCGCTAAATCAAACTCCATTCCATTTATATTTTTAGTTTTTCAGAAATTTCGACCGAAATTCAAAGAAATTTTTCAGAATTACTCCAAGAAATCTGTTTTATTTCATTTTTATGATTTTTTTTTAATTTTATGACTAACAGATTTCGTTAAATAATTCAAAAGTTGCAACATTTGACTCCAATTTTGTTTTTTTCAGTCTGTTTCTGTCGACTTATGTTATGTCATAAAAATTTTGCTTCTTTATTTTTTGGAAATATTTTGTTTGTGTTTTTTGTTTCATTCACTTTTATCCAGTTTTTTGTCAAAGTTTATTTATCTTATTGAGAGATTTTGTTAAAAACTAAACAAAATGTTGCAAACTCGGTCTCGAATTGAATTATTTTGCTGTTTTATTAGATTTTTATAAATTTGAAGTCAGAAACTTTCTAACAAATTTAAAAAAATGCCGCAAAAATCGTCTCATTTGTGTTTATTTTCTGTGCGATTTGGTTTCTATTAATTTTTTGATTTGTTTCTTCTCATTTTGACCAATTAATATGAAATTTAGCGAATTAGTGAAGCAAACTGTTGAAATAATGCAAAAATCGATAAATCTCAGTTCGATTTTTGCTCAATTAATGTAAGAAACTTTTAAATCAGACTCAATTTTTTCAGTTTTTTTACGAGAATCCAACTGAAATTTTTCATATTTTATTTAAATTTGTTAAAATTGATGATAAAATTGGAAAATCAAGGTCCACTAGTGTTGTTTTCTACGATTTTAGGAAATTTCAGTTAAAATTTTACTTCTTTTCTAAAATAAATTGCTCTAGATTAGTGCAAAAAATCGCTAAATCAAACTCCATTCAGATTATTTCGATCTATTTCATTTATATTTTTAATTTTCAGAAATTACAACCGAAATTTAAAGAGATTTTTCAGAATTAGTACAAGAAATCTGTTTTATTTAATTTTTTTTTTAATATTTAAAATTTTATGACTACAGATTTCGTTAAATAATTCAAAAGTTGCAACATTTGACTCCATTTTTGTTTTTTCAGTCTGTTTCTGTCGACATATATTATGCCAAATTTTGCTTTTTTGTGTTTTTTTAATGTTTTCCTTCATACACTTTTGTTCAGTTTTAAGCAATTTTAGCCAAAATTTATTTATTTTATTGGGAGATTCTATTAAAAACTAAACAAAATGTCTCAAAATCGGGCTCGAATTGTATTATTTCGCTATATTTTATATAATGTTTAGAAATTTTAAGTCAAAATTTTTGTAATTCTGACAAATTTCAAAAAAAATGCAGGAAAAACCGTCTCAATTATTTTTACAATGTTCTGTTGTTCGGTGTGGGCCAATTTTTCTTAACTTTTTATTAAATTTTTTCAAAAATTTCGTTTTTCCTCTCATTGTGGATCAATTTATATGAAATTTTGTTGAATTAGTAAAGTAAATCGAAAAATTTGAGTCTAATTGTATTATTGGGACATATTTTACTCGTTTGTCTCAATTTTTAGTAAACTTTAAGAGATTTCGTTGAAACTAGTTTTTTTTTTAGTTTTTATTTTATAGAATTTTTGGGTTATTTTATGAGATTTTTAAATTTTTGTTTTTTCAGAAATTACGACTGAAATTTGACTGTTTCATTTTTATGATTTTTAAAACTTTGTGATTAACAGATTTCGTTAAAATAATTCAAAAAGTAGAAACATTTATCTATGTTTTTTCAGTCTATTTCTGTCGACCTGTATTATGTCATTTTGTGTTTTTTTAATATGTTGTTTCATCCACTTTTATTCACTTTCAAGCAATTTTAACCAAAGTTTATTTATTTTATTGAGCGATTTTGTTAAAAACTGAAGCAAAATGTCGTAAAATCGAACTCGAATTGTATTATTTTGCTATATTTCATTGAATTTTTACAAATAAGTCAAAAATAATATTTTATAATATTCTATACGGTTTTTGGAACAGCTTTTATTAAATTTTTTATATTCAAAAAACTTTTCATTTTGACAAATTTTCATCAAATTTGAATTAGTTTTACTCGATTTGTATCAATTTTCTTAGTTTAAACATATCAAGACATTTCGTTCAATTTTGCATGAGGCTCTTTTTTTTATAAAAATATCATTAGGTACAATTTTTATTATTTATTCATTTTGGTTAAAATGTTGGCAAAACTTCAATTTTTATTAGAGAAATTTTTTTCGAAACAATCAATAAAAAAACTCCAAAATTAATTGATGTGTTTTTTTTCTAAGTATGACGTGATTTTTTTGCTTAATTATGTTTACAATGTTCTGTTCAGTGTGGGACAGTTTTTATTAATTTTTTCAAAAATTTCGTTTTATTTCCTCTCATTGTGTATCAATTTATATGAAATTTTGTTGAATTAATGAAGTAAATTGAAAAATTTTAGTCTAATTGCATTATTTGGGCACATTTTACTCGATTTGTCTCAATTTTTAGTAAACTTTAGGAGATTTCGTTGAAACTAGTTTTTTTTAGTTTATATTTTCTAAAATTTTTAGGTTATTTTATGAGATTTTTTAATTTTTGTTTTTTCAGAAATTACGACTGAAATTTGACTGAAATCTGTTTTGTTTCATTTTTATGATTTTTAAAACTTTGTGACTAACAGATTTCGTTAAAATAATTCAAAAAGTAGCAACATTTATCTATGTTTTTTCAGTCTATTTCTGTCGACTTGTATTATGTCATAAAAATGTTGCTTCTTTGTGTTATTTAATGTTTTATTTCATTCACTTTTGTTTAGTTTTAGGCAATTTTAACCAAGGTTCAAAATTTTGTTAAAAACTAAAGCAAAATGTCGCAAAATCGAACTCGAATTGTATTATTTTGCTATATTTCATTGAATTTTTACAAATAAGTCAAAAATAAAACAAAAATTGTCTCATTTGTGTTTACAATATTCATTTTGACAATTTTTTATCAAATTTCGTTGAATTAGTAAAACAAGAAATCGAGAAATTAGCGTCTAATTGTATTATTTCGGAATGTTTTACTCGATTTGTATCAATTTTCTTAGTTTAAACATTTCAAGTCATTTCGTTTAATTTTGGATGAGGCGATGAGACTCTTTTTAATGAAAATATCAATAAAAATTTTATTATTTATTCATTTTGGTTAAAATGTTGTCAAAACTTCAATTTTTATTAGAGAAAATTTTTTCGAAACAATCAATTAAAAAACTCAAAAAATTACAAACCAATAATCTACAGGATGATTCTTATAAGACTTTGTCGACTTTTTTCCAAAATTATCGTGATTTTTTTTGCTTATTTTTAAAAATTTACCGGTTTGCCCCTTGCCGAGGGTCTTCTCCAGCCTGTAGGGCCCCACGTACTGGTGTATCTCCGGCGAAGGGTTCGTATTTTCCTTCTGCATTTTGACGTTCGTCGTCACTCACAGCCCTTTTCGCATCATCATGTCAGCAGCACAACAATTCGCACTTGATTCTCCCTAATTTCCAGCATGTCTTCGGTGACGGTGCCACTTTACACATATTACCACCCGTAATTGATTTTCCACCGCCGGTCCATCGACACTTTTCCACCCATTTTCACAATTTTACCAACACCACCACCAATGATGACATTTTCTCACACTCGCACGGTTTCAGCGATGGACTCGAGGGGTGGGCAAAAATCAATATTTAAGTTAGGAAACCCTCGACGAGAGAAAATCCCCAACTTGGGGGAAAGCGCAATGTCAAGCAAGCATTTTCAGCTTGTTTTTAGTGTTTTTTAATTAAACATATTTAGCGCTTTATTACACGAGAAAAAAAAATCCATTTTCCTCCCGATTCTTTTATATTTTTATTTAGTCTCTTTTTTGCCAAAAAAGTCACTAAATTAGTCCAAAAATAACATTTTTGTCTTTTTCGCACATATTAAAACGTTACTAGTCGGTAGTACAGTTTCCTGTAACGTCAAATGTAATGAGAAGGAATATTGAATTGTATTTATCAAATAATCACCAGTTTTTTCCTAAAAACGTGCTTAAAAAAGGGGACATTTTGACCAATTTAGTAATTTTTGGATTATTTTTAACAACATTTTGTGTTTCTACGCAATCTAAACCAACTAACAAATGCTATTTTGAGCTATTTTTGATGAAATTTTTCAAAAAAATTGGTCTTTGTGGTTGACTTTTTACTTAATTTAGTGATATTTTGAATTGAAAAACGCTCGAAAATGCAAGAATGTCGTCATTTTCGCCATAATTAGATTGTTTTTTGTTCCAAGATAACAAAACCTTGAAAAAAATTGAGTTTTTCTTTCAGAAACGTACTTAAAAACTCAAAAAGTTAAAAAACAACAGGATTTCCTCTTAATTTAGTGATTTTTCAAACTTATTTTTGATGAAATTTGTGTTTTTGACTTAAAAACGTTCTGACGCGCTCAAAAAATGAATAAATAACACCAAATTGATATTTTTTTTGTGAAATTTTTGACAAAATTTTGTTAAATAATTGCGTTTCTACTTTAAAACATGTTAAAACATCCGAGAAAGGCCCAAAAATTTCCCATTTTTGACATGATTTTTGAATTTTATATGAAACATTCTGAAAAAATTGACGTTTCTGACTGAAAAACGTTTAAAAATTCCACAAAAAAGCAAGTATGTGTTATTTTGACTTAATTTGGTGGTTTTTCAGTTTGTTTTTGTCAAAATAATTGCATTTTTTGCTGAAAAACATGCTGAAATGACCGAAAAAAGCAAAAATTGTCTCATTTTGGACCCAATTTCATGATTTTTTGTGCCTGTTTAGCAAAATTTTATAAAAAAATTGAGTTTCTAGTTTATAAACATGCTTAATGAGATTTCAAAAATGATTTAAATAACAATAATTTTTGTGTTGTTTTTAACAAAATTTTGAGAAATTATTGCGTTTCTATCTGAGGAAGTTTTTAAAAATCCCCGAAAAAGGCAAATATTTCGTTTTTGGACCTAAGTTAGTGATTTTTTTAGCTTATTTTCAAAATAATTGCATTTTCTTCAAAAAAAAACGTGCTAAAGAACAAAAATTGTCTCATTTTTGACGTAATTTGATAATTTTTTTCTTGTTTACTAAAATTTCAAAAAAAATGAGTTTCTTCTTTATAAACGTGCTTAAACTCTTAAAAAATGACAATAAAACATCAAAAGAATAATTTATGTATTGTTTTTAAGGAAATTTTACGAAATTATTGTGTTTTTAAGCTGCAACGTTTGAAACGTTTTCAAAAAGGTAGAAAATCGATTCATTTTTAATTTAATTTCATGATTTGAAACAATTTGAAAAAATTGTCGTTTCTGACTGAAAAACGTTTGAAAATTTCAAAAAATAAAGAATATGTGTTATTTTGACT